ACGAATGTAACGATTTACACTGCAACCTGAAATGTGCTAACCCGCAAAGCCTTAATGCAGGAATGATGGATTGGAAGCCGTTACTTTGCGAATTAATTTGTGATTTTATTTTCATGAATTTGCGCATTGCAATTTTCGCTAAAACAGTGAAAGAAATTATTTGAATATGTATAAGGTTCTCTAGTTTTCTGTGAGGAAATAAGAATCCGCAACAACCAACGTGTTTGAAGTTTGGAAAAGTCTCTGCACATTTATGATGTGTCGGTCGGTTCAGTAGTGTTAAACACTGACCGTGTGGCGTCCAGCCAATCAGAGCAGACAACAAATCGACGAATCATGTTACTGCATAGGTTTGGTCATGAGGAGGAACAAACGATCGGACGATTCAGTCATAGTAATGGCACTCTCCTATAAAAAGCCTGTTGAGGGCAAACCCGAGAAGGTCCAGGTTGTCGACCTAGAAAACACAGTCAAAGAATGGGCTACAAATCACTTCAAAAAGATCACAAATGTAAAGCGAAAGAATATGGATATTCAAATAAACTGGAATGATGTGGACAGTAGAAGTGAAATGGTTTTCTGTGCAGACGTTAAATCGGACAGTGGAACAGAAAATGCCAGTACCAACGAGGCCCTCTCCACAGGACATGATAACTGGCTGAACCAGCATGTCTTGTTCAGCATGGAATATGTCAATGATACAAATGGGAGACAAGAATACACCTTTCATACGGACCGCACAACGCGCAGAGTTTTCGAGATTGAGAAATGCAAAGGCTTTTCTTGTAGAAAGGAGGTCGGAATAAAGTTACAGGTACCGTCCTGTTTCAACAAAAGTAGTTTGTCAAAATTCTGTTCAAGAATAATTATAATTATATATTTATCAGTTCGCATTCTTTGAAGCCTGTCAATTCTTGCTGTTCAGATGATTTAACCAGAAAAACTGCTTTGCTTACCTTGTCAGGTAAGATCTTAACATCACTGACTACACTCGCAATCGGAGTATCGGAAAATGAAAAAAGAACTGTTAGTTTAATATTATTTTAATTTGTGGTATGTAAGAGAGAAGCAAGCAATAAGGCAACTAATAACGTTTAACTTCTTAGAAGAAGGGTAATGAACCTCAATGGGTTTCAGCTACTGAAATTTATGCGACGCCAACCAAAAACAGCAACAAACAGAATATTTAATACTATATAGCGGAAATGTGCTTTTATGATTCTATGCTGGTTAAGCCCTTGGGTATTTAGTATAATTCGTACACAAAGTCAGATCATTCGGGAATTAAGTTTGGCAAGCCTACATTATTACTAGTTTGCTAATAGGACGAAAATAGAAACATTGCGGTGATGCAGTGATGAGATAAATTATGAGATGTGGTTTGCTACTTAAAGAGATACGAAAGAGGATACCATGTCATGACAGGGCGTGAAACTATGCTCACTTCACATATTTCATTGAGTTAGTCATACCGTACGAAGTAATGCATTATGTTCAAAATTAGCGCTCTAAAATAGTACACTTTAATTAATTAAATCAGTTCTTTCATGGCCTCAGACGTTTTCGGGAGAAGAGTCGGTAACATTTTAATGTTACACTTTTGCCCAACGTGTTTTTGTTTTCATCTATAAGTGAACAATTTTTCCCTTATTCACTAACAATTTTCCGTAGTTATTCGGTACTAAACCTGTCTACTTATCTCAATTCAAATTCTATTCAATCCGCTTTCTTATTGTAATCATGACACGCGGCTGTGCACATTTAATTCTTAGTACCCAATAAGTCAGTAGTGCATGTTTTACGCTAAAACCACCCGCAATATAAATTTATATACCATGTAAGTACTGCTTAAAGTCCTAAAGCGGCAGTCTAAAAACGACATCGAATTTAATTGCATTTTTAAAACGGACGACTGCGGACACCAAAGCCGTCGTCTTTAGTACTGTAAAGGAGCGAGGTTCAGATAACTTAATATGGAAACTTTCAGTAGCCGACTGAACATGGCGAAGATAAAGTTAATGTCAGAGGGCCCAAAATGTGCCACGGCATCATTCTGCAGTGAATTAAATCTGATTAAGAGTCTTGCAAATCCTAGCACATTTACATATTAAATCCGTAGGTTGCTGATATACTTTATTACACGGTTTCCCAATTGCAAATTTGTAGATGACAAAAACAGCAGACTTTATTGGATCCATGAAATTTCGGGAGAACTCTTTAGCTGCATCCACTGCAATATATTATAAGAGTAATTAATGTCCTGCGACCATTTTGACCTGTCTATGCAAATTCAGTTTTGTTTTTTCCCCATTCCTTATTATTATAAGGCATTGGAGTGGACGCATCTGGTGTGCTCTCCCGAAACTTCATGGATCCAATTATTCCTGCTGTTTTTGCCATGTAAAAATACTTTACTACGTTAATCATGATCAGTTATCACACTTCTCGTGTGTCTGACTTGCACAGCCCCGCAACAGACCATAAAAAGTGTTTTATGCATTACTCATTCTTTGTCATTATCTCAAATACCTAGGAAATTTGAGCAGATTTAGCAAGGGCGATTAAGACTGCACTTCATCATCACTATTTCAAGACAATTCAGGTTCTGTGGATAGAACCGTGGTACGGAACACCAGTAAGTAGCATACTTGATGACTGTGCTGTTACTGATGTTTGATTGTTCATTAGATATAAAAAGTACTACATGCAAAACCTGGAACTGAGCTTTAATACAAAGAAAACATTTTCTCCGCATATTGGAAATTCTCGGCTTTGAAACTGAAACTATATTTGCTACTCTAACTATCAATCCTATTTCGATTCTGAAAGTATGTATATACGAACTTGTTATGCCCATAAATCAAAAGTGCGTCAATTGACTTAGAATGAGGTGTAGCCTTTGGAAATTGAAGTAACACTGGTATTTAAACGCAGATCTGAGTACAAGGCTGATTGTACGCTGAAAAAGAAAATATTTCTTCTTTAGAATAACTAGGCATATTATTTAAACAGTTTCATGTAAACGTAGGAAAAAGGGCAAGCCTAGATCCGTTTAAATGTGCTAACTGGAGGTTGTTTTGCGACGCTTCCAAGAAGATGCATGCAATAATTTACGCTTTTAATTGACAGGATATTTTCACTGCTAACGAAAGAAGCAACACTGTTTATTGCCAAAAGCACAGTCAGTAATTAGATTAAGCTACTCGGCATCGGGGATAAAAATATCTTTCCCCGGGCGTTAAAAATAAACAGTTATTCTCTTCGGGTAACAATTATTTGATTTAATATTTCAGTGAAAATAAGGTCTGGCGAAATTGCAGGCCAAAATACAAATGAATGAACTCATACATGGCATTTACATATCATCCTTGAAAGACAAACCCTTTATATAAGGCTTTCACACAGACAATGAATATTTTCTGTGTGAGCTTGCTCAAAACATGGGCACTTATTTATTTAAAGCACACATTTACATCCTAATGTTTTTGCATCTAATGGAATTAGTGACGTTGCCTTAACTTAGTGCGTCATAAATAATCCTCAAACTTGATCATTTGCAAGTTGCTTTTGATGGCTTATAAGATCTTTCAATAAATATTTATTGTTTTGTATGCTTTTAAAACCGCAATTAATAGCCTTGGATTAGTCGATCATGGGGATATTAATAGGGGTAGTTCAGCACCATCGGCATTTGTTGTACAATTCTTATTAAAAAGGTATTTTCTGCAAGCTGTGTTTTAAATCTAACTTTATATACATTTTTCAACACAGGACTCAAAGCAAAATACCACATATACATTTTTATTCAATATTTAATAAGACAGCCTTTCACATAATCTATATTTTAGGCATCGGCTATAAAAGTAATTAAACGTTTTGATGATTATTTTTTAATCATCCGTTAAGCATGGTATACAAAATTGAGCTATTTTTAGCGAACTATTTGCGTTTCTGTGCATAGAGCGTATTGGTATTTTTACCGAGTTATGATCTGCGATTAAGAACAGCACAAATCGTTATGAATACTGGTCCCTGAATCCAATATTTCATTTGAAAAAGATACTCTATTCCATTTTTCTCCTCATAAACATTTCACATTAAATAGTACATTACCCATCTGTCAGCCTTTTTTCGAGAATTATCCATTCCTTCCTTAAGAAAAGGGAAAAAGACCAATTTATTATTGTGACATCAAAGAATGCAAAATAAATCGAGGGGTTTATAAAATTAACTTGAGGTGTTTAAGCCGATAATGAGGGCGTTATTTTCTCGTCTTAATTTCAATGGATGTCGTTTTCTGTGAAGTTCGTCTTTGGAAGGAAGAAATAAGTTATCAAAAAACCTCTTACATGTAACAACTTTTAAGGATTAAATAGCAGCATTCTTTTCTTCTGGTGAACCAAAGACTTCAGATTCAAATTAAAAAGTCACTGATGCCGCTCTTACATATTGCTACATCGTTCGAGAAAGAAAAATTCATTTCAAAGAAAAGCTAATTTACTTTAAAAGAAATTGA